TCTCTGCTCTCGCAGTCTCGTACCTCACGGCTCAGGCTCGCCCGGCACTCGGTCTCTATGACTGGGCTCGCCGCTGCATCGCTGTCCCGGTCTTTTGGATCTCTCTGCTTCTAGGAGAATGACTATATTAACAAAAAACAATTCCCGGTTTTACAAAATCCACATACACTCGATGTAGGGCGCACAAGTGTTTGTCACTGGGGTGGGGGACAAAAATGGCACAACTTGAAATGTTTGCGCACACGAGACGGGAAGCGTTAGAGGGAACACTGCCCGGGACTGGTCCGGTCCGGTCCGGTCCACGCTGCAGGACCATGAAGAAGGACAGCAGCACCGGCGGCCCTACAGAGCGTCTTGAATGTGGCTGTGTCGCATAAACCACAACAGAGTCACGTGTGCGGGCTGTCTGCCGAGGAAGGACGATCTGCGCACTGGAGGTGCTGTTCTGGTCCTGCCGGTGCGCTGCTGGCGAGCAAGGCGGGAGTAAACCCAGAAATAAAGATGGACAAAACCACGGTGGTGAAAGCGGGGGCAGTGGCCAGCGCCAGTGTGTGTGCCCTGTTCGGCGGCGTGGTCTTAGCCCAGTACATCTTCACCAAGAAGAAGAAAGCGGGCCGGAAAACCAAGATCATTGAAATGGTGAGTTTCCGTGTGAGCCAATGCGTGTGACTGAACCGAGCCGCGGGGTTTTGAAAAGCTCGCAGAGGTCTTACTGCAGATAATAATGATAATGGTGATGATAATAATACAATTCCAACATAGTTGAAAAGCGAGGCAACGCAGAACAGCAGCTGAAGTATTTGAGAGTCTGGTTTGTGGACACCCGCGAAGGCAAAATTACACAAGCCCTTGCAGGTGAACCGTAGGATACGTTTATGGTTTGGATACATATTGAGCCACCGTTTGGTCATTTTGGTCTGGGATCATTTTGTACGAAGAAGATTAATAAGATTTTTAAATAAGTCTCCCTGCTGGAGCACAGAGATGTGAGCTTTGAACGGTCTCCACTGCCCACTCGCAGGTTGGTATTGAAATTTGTCGCTTTAAATGTCCACGTTGACCTTCATTGGCTCCTGCGTGGCTGCATCTTTCCTGCTTTTCTGTGACATCGCAGCGTTGCAGTTCAGTACAGTGACCACCTGGGGGGTACAGACAGCAGACTTTTTACATCTGAAAAATAAAGCTCTCCTCCTGTATGTTGTATTCACAAAATCGAGCGTGCGTCTGTGTCTGTGTTTGCAGATTTTCGGTAGTAAAAATATATTTTCTTGAAGAAGAAAAAATCGGATATTCCATCGTGGAACATCTTGGATCCTTACCTTCCCTTTCTGGGATCACGAATGTTTCTGGCACTTTGTGAGCTTGGAGTCAGGCCTGGACATCCATCCTTTTTCTGATGGCTTCAACCAATTCAGGGTCACTGCTAGCAACAGGCACAAGGCAGGGTACAGCCTGGACAGGACACCAGTCCATCGCAGAGCAGACACACACACAATCACGCACGCACAGACACATACACTCACAGTCACGCACACGCAGACGCAAACACAGACACACACCAGGGCCAGCGTTTCCCATCCCGCCAGTGTGTCTTCGGACTGTGGGAGGAAACCAGAGCCTGCAGGTGTCCAGGGTGGACACCCTCCTGGCGCCCTGAGCCTGTCAGTTTAGGCTCAGTCACCGAGACCCCCTGAGGATAAAGCAGTACTGGACTCTGGGACCCCTCTGCAGTACAGAGAAAGCACGAGAGGGCTCGAATGGAGTGACATTGTGCCAGTAACACAGGGGTGCAGGGGGCTATTATCACTAGCCGTGGACTTAGACTTGTTGCAGGCTGACGGTGATCTCTCTGCACGGATTTGTCTTGACGTCGTTTGGAGCCCCCTGGCTGTACTCTTCCCATTGTCACTGCGGCACCAGTGTCGATTTAATCCCGCGATGATGTCTCGAGACATTAACGTGCGTCCGTGTAGAGCAGGGGTCATTCGAGACAGAAATTGCACCTGAGCCCTGTCTACCACCTGTGGTACAAGTGGGATAGATGCACCAGTGTCGGTCACGAGAAATACTGAAGGTCAGTTCAGATATACAGATTCCATGGAGGAGCCTCTCCATGTTTGTGGCCAGTTAGATCTTTGACCCCGATTGCCTAGGGTGTCGATCTGCATCATCGCACTGAGAAACAGCCTCCTGAAAACTACAAAAAGAAAGAAACAGGAAATGCAGAGGAGCAGCATCTGTGCCGCTCAGATGGGAGAAGTATGCGTGTAAAACGCTTTGGGTTCTGTGGACCTATTCCCGTTAGAGGTGTTTTTGTATCTGTTTAGCAGCGGCGCGTGACACCAGTTTGTTGCACATGGCAGGACATTCATGACAGGTTCTTGTGACTGGAGCAGCAGTGTTGGTCTTGATGATCGATCGAAACACAAATCGTCGGGCGAATAGTGTTATCGATCCTTACCAATTGAACACACTGATTCTGTATCTATAGCCTGATGCCTGTCAAATGTCACTGCCCTGAAAACCTTTTCTTTAGCCGTAGTAACTGTTAAAACCGGTGTCATGGCTTAGACTCTGGGGGTCAGGTAAGGTGAGTATTCTCGTGTCCTTGGTGTATTTGCTCAGCCCTGGCAGAACTCTGGGTTCTGTGATAGCAGTGTGGGTGGGTCTCTGTCTTGGCTCTTATCGGTGTGCTTGGCTTCCGTCAGCCCCGCTGGTGAGAGCCGTGCCAGGGTGAGGAGGGGAAAGCGTGAGCCCATGAACAGAGATAGAGCTGGGAAGCTGCTGAAAACTCAGCCCCGTCCTTCAGCTTTATTTACTGACATGCAGGCCAGCCCCTTTATCAGAGCCGTGCATAAGACATCTCTGAGAATCCAGCCCAAGAGCTGCAGTTTGTGCAGGAGGCTTCTCAGCGGCCTCCTGTCTTCTCAAATCCAGCCCTTGCCGAGACCCCCTTTTCTGTCGCTGGCTTTCTAGAGGTCAGTGCAGTGGGTCAGGGATCATCACCGAGCAGCAGTTTTCGAGTCTGCCGAAGGCTTCGGAACGCCAGGACTTTGACTTCAGCCTCGATTTCTTTTTTTGACACTTGTGACCCCCCTGCCCTCCGTTTGCAATCGCCGATTGGCTTTGGATCCTGGCTCACAGTAGCACAGGGGCTGAGATGGTCCTGCAGTGCCACCCCACCCATCGGGCCGCTCAGTCCTTGAGATCAGCTGGAAGCCCAGAGAGCACTCACAGCCAGTTGTGTCCCGAGCCAGTCAGCGTGTTTCATGGCCTGTGCCCCAACCTGGAATTCCTGCAGCACACTGTAACTAGTCTGTAGGGAGGGATTGCACTTTCACCTCTGGAATTCTTTGCATACCTTCAACATGGTCCTAGTCCGTAGTCCTGGTTTCGGCCTTTCTCGGCCTTCTAAAAATGGCCAATCAGTACGCGTAATCATAAAGCCCACAGGTCATAATGTACCTCATGATAGCAGTGATGGAGGTCTTTAAGTCTGGCACTTTCGCCTGCGCATGGAACAGTGTTTCTAAGCCACACTGTTCTCCACTGGTCAGCCTCGAGCCTGGGTAGTCACCCGTACCTGGGGAACCAGGATCAGCTTTGTACAGGACCAGCCGTAAACTGGTCCTTCCACATAAACCTCACGCTTGGCTTTATCACAGAAGGATGGTACCACCTACAGCGCAGTGTCCTTGGTCACCATACCGGAACGTTTTTTGGAAATTCCGGATCCAGCCGACAGAATGCCAGGGAGAGTGTTGGTCCACCAGGAGCCTTTAGAGCAGAGATATGAGCTTACTTCGAGATCAGCCTGTCTAGTACTCAACGGGCCCAGCCTTGCTTAGCTTCGGAGATCTGACAAGATGAGACTACAGGGTGTAAATGCTGCTGTGAAGTGGACATTGCAGGGAAGTGCATTTGAATGGAGAACAGGAAATCCCTTTTATACACAAAGGTTGTAGGAGTCTAGAGTAAACTTTCCAAGCCATCTTCCCATTTCAAAGCCTGCAAAAAAATAGCGAGATGAGATCCTTGAATCAGTTAACTAGCAGCTGCCAAATGATCTGCAGTATACGAGCCAAATGCGCCTCCGTTTGTAACCCTTCTGACTTGCTCTTATGTAAAATTGAAAGGCTCAGCGTTATAATTCTTGGAAATCAGAGGTAACTGACCTTCATTCTGTGCTGCATTCAGCATTGCACAGTTCAAACTCCTTCACCTATCTGCTGGAACACCCCATTGATTTATCAGTACCTTTTGTAATCCCTGTCTGTGGGGTAAACGCAATTGCTTGTAGAAGTGAAGAGAATGACCTCTGTCCTAAATGTGCATTACTATGAGAACTACTGGTATCAGAGGAAACAGGCATGCGTATTATTGTTGTTTGAGCTGGGTCAGTTACACAGCATGGTCACATTGGGAAAGGTCTCGACAGTAGCAGAAAACTGTTTTCTCCACAGTTACATACAGTGGTCGGAGATCAGGATGCGTAAAATGTTACAAGATTTAGTGCTTGTGTGTGTTTTGTTATTTCAATATTTAGGAGTCTGGGGCACTCCAATCTTGTGTGCAGGACAAGCAGGGTGTGTGAAAGGCCCTTTCTCAGTGCCTGGTTCTCCGATATTAGAAAACTGAATATTAGAAAGCATCAGAATGCATTGCTCTCTGAATTTATTAAGATGCTTAACAGAGCAAGCCCATGCCAGATCTTTTGAGTGACCTTGTCCCTGTGAGGGGGAATCAGTTTGCGTGTCTCTGGCAGTGGTGAAGTCAGTGAAGCAGTGTGCTTTGGTAAGGATTTTTTTTTATCTCTACTGATAGGAAGCGCATTTCCAGGCATACCCCTTGTGTAATCGAAGGCCCCTTTGTTTATTCAGGTCAGTGTAATTATTTTCTAGAATTTAAAAGGGTAGTCCTCACTTTCTGCTGCAGTCGACAGCAATCAATTGTTCTCTTCTTACAGAAATAAAGTGCCCTTAAATTGTTCACATTTCCAGTACATTTTTATGTTATGTAATTGAGGTCATTTTTTATCCAGTGAACAATTCTTATTGTTGCCTTGATTGGATTTATTGATGCATAAGAAAGATTACAAATGACACTTGGTCATCTCTGTCTGATTGATTCAAGGGTCTTAACCCGGTATTTTGTGAATGAAGGCAAGGAATAAGCTTCAGAAATGGCCTGGGTATCTACTTTGTTTGCCCACACTTGAATTTTGTCTTGGCATTTTTTTAAATTTCATTTGCATCATTTATAGTGTTTGCTACTCATGCTATTGTGGTAACATCTGGGGACATGTGTAATCAAGTGTGCCAACTACACCAGAATCTAGATAGCCGATATAAATTTAAAAGCACAATGGTCCTGATACCTGAGGCATTCCTTTAATTACATCACTCCAGGTGATATTCGTCTCTTATCTGTATTGTTTTCCGTTCATTAACCACCTCTCAGTCCCAGACCCTTTAATGCCTAACATCCGCAAAATCCGGAGACAGCAGAAAATAGACAATTACACTGCAATTTAGTGTTGGCCCCTGTTTCTGCTGTTGTTCTATCCAGTGAATGCTGACCGAATGTGAATTAAGCAAGACCTACCTTTTCTAAATCCGTTTTGACCATTCCTTATAATGCTTTCCCAAATAAAACGGCGGACAACTTTCAAAATCCTGGATAAATTTAACAAGTATCCTAAGAAACAAAAACATGGTCCTCATTCTGTCTGTTTTTAGTTAGCATGTACATTTTCCTGCAGATTAACAGCCTGACATGGGCTCAGAGCCTAAGGTGCATGTTCTACTTTCCCAGTCACAGGCGTGGGTATAGTCAGGTACGTCTTCCTGCTTACGAAATTCGGCCCTTAAGCGCCCGAATGCAGTTTTTCTTTACGCGTTTCATGCTGTGCTGTCTCTCCCACCCCTTAGACTGGTTTCAAGGCTGCCCTTCTATTTCTGTTTGCTGTTTTGGCACAGAGCGCCCTGTAGCCCAGGGTGTGCGTCAAAGTGCTCTCATCTTGCAGAGAGAGATTAGCAGACCTATTTTTGGCGACGCCCCCAGCGTGCTCCACACTATATAAGCATTGGTCCGACAAAGAATTTCTTCCTTCTGCTGGTGCATACAGAGGACAGTGGTAAGCCTGCTTGTGTTTATTTGTGAGACGAGTGCTCGTCGCTCTGTCATCTAATGCCATTCTGCTTCCTGCTTCGCTTGCCGACAGGCTGATAGCTGTTCCTTGTGGTGCCTTTTGACGCTGTTCAGCTGCGTTTGGTTAAGAATGTCTGTACGCAGGGTGCAGCTACAGTGGTGAAGCTTTTCTAAGGAGAGAATGTATATTTTTTTAGTTTTGTACAAGTAGTTTGTGCATGAACCTATGTAAAACTATGCAAAAATAGTCACCATGGATGTGCAAAGAATTCTAGTTTGTTTTTAAAAAGTCAGTGTGAAATGAAGATTGCACAGTTAAAATATATTCATTTTTAAGTGTAATCAAGTATTTGATAAGTGGGGTTTTTCTGACTGCTTGACAATTTCATTATTGAAATGTACCAAATGTTTTCTATTGTAGAGCTGGATGCTGTGTCAGCTCTTTCCAGTTCAATAAATCATTGAAATTGAAAAATCAAATTCTTATTTTCAGTGCATAACTGAAAGGACCTGTTGTTGTGCCCTCTCGTTACATAAACGACAGATCTCAAGTTTCCTTTAGGGTGGAAGCAACAGGGTTAGCAGGCGATATATTTAACCATGATGAAAATTAAGTGCCGTGACACCCTTTTTAGTTGTGCTTTTGGATTTTTGACGGAGTTTAAATTGCTTTTCCAAAGCAGTCTGTGTGTCAGAAATGGTCAGGAAGCTTTAATCTTGATAGTCTGTTATCAAAGGTGACTATGGAAGCAGGACTGATCTGACAATCCAAAATGCAAATTCCCCGTGAGAATTGCTCGGCTGGATAAGTGGTTAGAGAGTCTTCTTTTTGAAGCGATAATCAATGGAGGAAAGTAACAGGATCTGTAGGAAAGAGATGGGATTTTAGCCCAGGTGCCTTGGCCAAATTGCTTGCATTCTGGGTCCGCACAATTTGGCCTCCCTAAAATTCCCACTCAATTCAGTGGATGAAGTCATTTCTCCCTTCTCCCCCGTGTCGGCTGTTTTGTGGGGCTTTGGGTGCTTATCGTCCAATGGGCGGCAGCCCTTGAGTGCAGGGTGGAACTGGGTTTCCTCTGGGTTTCTCCCAGGACTACTTGGGGACCCTTCAGCACGCAAAGCACTAGAGCAAGGAATCATTGTTCTAAGACACAGGGGGATCAAAGCTGTACCTGCACTGTAGGTGAGCTGTACTGAGAGACGGCCACCAGCATTCAGGGTGTTTCAGCCGAGAGGATATTGGGGCGAGTCCCAGAGCGATTCCCCCTCGCCCTTTCCCTGCCCCTCGGGCTCCGCAAGGCTCCTTACGGGCGACGCGTTTAAGACTGGGGTTTTATTTTGTAGCCGGTCTATGAGGCGGCTGTGGCTCTTGACACTGCTCATCGCTTCAGCCCTCAGAGTAGGACAGAGCGAAGGCCCGAGGAGTGAAGACAGCCCCCAGCTCAGCACGCAGGTACACCCCGGCGCCACTCCCTGCTGTCAGCCCCCCAGTCTGCCTGGAAGAGCTCGGGAAACTGCCGGTGCCACTCCTGTCACTTCCTGGACCAAACGCGTAGCCTGCTTGCGCAGACGGCGGAGGTTGGATTTTTGTTTTCTGACCGGTGCAAAACAGATTGTGTCGAAAGTAAAAACTGAAAGTGAAACTGCCAAGTAACAAGTCTGTGCGTCCGTGCACTGCTTTTCACATATAGTGGGTTCTTTAGTGGTAAGATACATGACTTTTTTTTATCTTTAAATGTAGCGTGTACTCTTAATTTGGCTAAACAAATATTCAAGACCATCTTGATTCCATGGTGTCCAGTTATCTCGGACTTCGAAGGAGTTGAAAGTCTTTCCTCAAAGTTTTGAAAATGAAGTGAGCGCAGCAAATACTCCCAGTTCTCAGATATCTTTAAATCAACCGCAGGATCCACTTGGATCTTAAATCACAGAATCGTACCATATCGTAGGATTTGAAGTATTGTCTTACATTTACGTTTCATTTGCAGAATTGGAATTGTGGGGAAACTGTTTTTCACCTTCGTTCTTAAAGCACAGGAAAAAAAAACCGTAGTAACTAGTGGGATTTATCTCCACTGATTGTAAGGGACTTTGACCCTGTTAGGCAACACTACAACAGGAATTCCACCATATACCCAGAGTTTAAGAGCAGCTACAGCTTCTACATAAGGAATAAAAGCAATTTCACGACGGGTATTATCTGTAAAACTTGACAAAAAGTGTCAGTGGGCTTTGCACAAATTTGATACTGTGCCTTCAGTAATGCCATACAGTATATAACATTGCAAAAAATATGTTCCACTCCATAACTAAGAAGTACAGTAATCTCAGCTCTCTGATAGCCCGATGTTGACCAGTGGATAATAGTAGCTTGTTTGTTTTCGTCTGCTATCTTACTCTGTGAGTGGAATCCAAAACAGCAGCTGGTTTTCCCATTTTCCATTCAGCAGAATCCGCGCCTGCAACCTTGGGGTATTCTTTTACAGGCCGCCGCCGTGGAGCCCCCCTGTCTGAAGTACAGTCGCTCCACAACACGGCTGCGTGTTCGTCTAGCAGCTCGCCCATCGGCATGTTTGGAGCAATCCTAGCGAGCCGGCCAGGCTGCAGTGGTCGTATAGGGCGTGTAGTTGCAGCATTTTTTCTAGTTGTTCGAATTATTCCTTCAGAAATGATGGCGTGAGATGGACACGACGGTTTTGGCCCCCCCCAGTGTATTGGATGATACTGCTGGGCTTGGCTGGAAATGGGGATATCCGTCTTCCAAGTTCTTTGGCATCCCGTACAGTTCTTTTCCGCTGTGTCCCTTATTTTGTGTTAGCACTCAGGAATGCTTTTGGATACAGTCTCACCGGCATGCCTTCGGCGCTGTGCTCTCGAAACCCGACATACTTCAGCAGGCTGAATGTGGGTCAGATGATTTCAGTTTAAAGTTTCCAATCTCAAGTTTGATCCCCTTTTTTTTTTGCTTTAATTTGATTTTTTTTTTAAATAAATCAAATTATCCATTTAATTCAATATTAATCGACAATCCAAGCTGGTTGGCATTTGCTGATTGTGCTCATATTGTGCATTAAAAGGTAATTGGCCCATCGCCAGTCTCCCAAGGTCTTCAAGAGCTGCTTAATTATGTTAATTAAGACAAAACAGAGGTTATATCAGGCACAGTAATAGAAAAAAAACAGTAATATGTATTACACGGACAATTTGAAATGTCACCATATTACCACGTGTCTCATAAGCTGCCTGTAAGGGTCTCCAAGGAAATGAGCTGGCGTGTATACATGCACACACACAAAAAACAGCTTTTAGGAAACGTTTAAGTGGCAAAGCCTCTTCAGGCTTGTTTGAATTGTGACTCCAGGACTTGTATAATGTTTACTGTGCATGTTCTAACTCAGACTGTGAAAACAGACTCTGTAAACACTGCCATAGCACAGATAGTTTGAATTCGCCAACAATAACATTCTCAGAAGAGAAGCTGCCAACAAATGGTTTATAAAGACTTTTTAAAAACTCTTTCCGAGGATCCCAGCTTGTAAAATAGGTGGTGGTGTTTGTTTTTATCTGTTGCATCTGGGCCACATCAGCCAAGGCAACAGACTTAGCAACCCAAAGCCTGTTATTATAACTTGGTATTTGGAGTGAAATTTATTTCTGAGTCATTTGACTGTTAAATCTGGGGGCATGCTCGTGTGTTTTTTTTATAGATGCCGGAGTTTGAGAAGAACACTGTCCACATTAAGGACCCGGAGAGGGTGGAGGAGATCATCTGTGGCCTTATCAAGGGTGGAGCTGCCAAGCTTCAGGTAGGGGAACAGGCAGGAAGGTCGCCATGGCTACCAGGTCTTGAGGCTAATGAGAATGAGCGCCATCTTGTGGCTGCCTCCTAACGCTGCAGCACCTTTTACATCATGCCCACGCATGGCGTTTTGAAATCCAGGCAATAGTTTTGAATGCTTCTCTTAACACATTGATAGAAACCAACATAACAATAATAATCACAACTGTAGGAATGTACATTCTGGTTTACAGATCCACTCTTCTGCTGATCGTTATGCATCTTTTTTGTGTTTAAATCCCTCTTTGTTTTGGTTTTTTCTTCTTTTTTGCAGGTCATCACTGATTTTGACATGACGTTAAGCAGGTTTTCCAGCAATGGCAAAAGATGCCCTACTTGTCACAGTAAGCAAAGGAATACCACTGCCATGACTAATTCTCATAGAAATTGTTTCCCAGTTACAGTAACATCCCTGTCTCCTAACCTTTTGCCATCGTGAGTATTTCAACATCAGGAAGAGTCCAAATAGGATCTTTTCCAGCTTCTGATTTGCTCAGCTGACAGAAATGTCACAAATCAAAGAAAATGTGAAAAGACTGACTGACCGTTGTAAACCCGAAACCCCTCACTTGAGATTTTCATGGTCAAAACCTATCATGGGGACGAACGGTTGCCATCATGAATAGGCAGTGGATCCATTTGCTGTGAGAACAGATTATCTACAAATTATGTAGGGATGACTTGTTTCCAGGTGAACTGATAGCTGTGAATTGTGTTCCCCACAAGGATAGATCATTTTTATATATAATATATAGTCGGTATATTATTGGATATGAATACTCAAATGCTTTCATTCAGAGTAAACCCAGAACACAGCTACCTTGTTTTAGCCATTAGTAAGTGATTGTTGATTAATATTGTACTCTGTGCATTAAAAACTAATTTGCCAATTGCCAGTCTCCAGGAGCTGCTAAATTATGTTAATTAAGACAAACCAGAGATTAGATCATGCACTCTTCATTTAACTGTTTTATTTAATAGGTATTATTGTGGCGCATAGGCCAGAATATATGCTGTTTAATCATCTATTCATTAACTATGGAGTCAAAATAAGAAATGTGTGATTTTGTTCCATGCAGATATCATCGATAACTGTAAAATGGTCACTGAAGATTGCAGAAGGAAGGTAATTAGGAGTTTAAAATGTGTACACATTTAATGAAATAAAGTCAGTGGGATGCTCATTCTCAATAACATTGCTTAAATGCTTGCTTCTTGCAGCTTCTTCAGTTGAAAGAGACTTACTATCCAATCGAAATTGACCCCCATCTCACCATTGAAGAGAAGTACCCTTTCATGGTTGAGTGGTGAGTTGCCCTGAAGCATCTCTTAAATCCCGAGTACACAGGATTAAACAGACGTTTCAAGGAAGCATCTGCAGACTCCTTAATATCCTGACACGTGCCCTCATATTTACAGTAGGGAGTATCCTCATACATGCATGTAGACTGAAAAGAATGCAATCGTAGGGTTGGGGGTGTCCAATCCTGGACCTGCTGGGCCAGCATCTGCAGGTTTGCTTCTCACCTTCTCACCTGTATGTCCTCTATATCCCAGATAAAAGCCTGATTACACGTCTTCCAGCAGTCAGGTGCTCTTGATTTAAAGAGACCTAGAAGTCAAGTGATACCCTGACCCTCCAGGACCAGGACTGGACTCCCAAGTTCAAAGTAATACAATAATAATAATAATAATTGATTACACGTATATAGCGCTTTTCTGGACACTCCACTCAAAGCGCTTTACAGGTAATGGGGACTCCCCTCCACCATCACCAATGTGCAGCCCCACCTGGATGATGCGACGGCAGCCATAGTGCGCCAGAATGCTCACCACACATCAGCTATTGGTGGGGAGGAGAGCAGAGTAATGAAGCCAATTCATAGATGGGGATTATTAGGAGGCCATGATTGGTTAGGGCCAATGGGAAATTTGGCCAGGACGCCGGGGTTACACCCCTACTCTTGTCGAGAAACGCCCTGGGATTTTTAATGACCACAGAGAGTCAGGACCTCGGTTTTACGTCTCATCCGAAGGACGGATAATACAAGCACAGACATCACCTACTGTATACAGACAACACTTACAAATGACTCCAAACTTTCTAAAGCCATGATGTCTATTCTGATCCCAGAGCTTAACCTTCTTGGCAGCCTCACAACTTTGTTTTTGTCTGTTCGCAGGTATTTCAAGTCTCACCGTTTACTAGTTGAACAGCGATTACAGAAAGACAAGATTCCAGAAATTGTGAGGGAATCTGATGTTTGTCTAAGGTAAGAATGTCATTCTTTTTTTTTTTTTGTTCCAAAATCAAGCAGTTGTGCTGTGGTCTGAAATACTGTACCTGACTGTGATGATGGGTCATTCCAAAAAGCATTCTGGTAGAGGTCTGTTAGACCCTACCCTGAGCAAGATTAATCCAAGAGTCTGCATGTACAAAACCCCAAATATCACATAAACCCAACAAAGTTACGTGTAGGAGTATGTATTGCAAACCTTCTAATGTTCAGAGGACTAAGGATTAGCTCTGAAAAATCCCCCAACCATGTTCATGTTCTTTATTTCCCAAACAAAAGCCTAATTACATGCATGGAAGAATCTGTCTTCCCAGACCCATTACAAATAACCCACTAATTAGACAACTAACACCTAATGTGGATATTTACAACTATTATAGGCTATATATTGTTGCCCGTTAGTGCAGATCAGCTGTAACTGTAGTCCCATATGAAACTGGCTCTGCCAGATTAAATCATGATCTACAAAGCATTATAGCATTATTCCCAGTTCTCAATATTTGCTCTTGCAAACCTTAGCACTTTTCACCCACATTGTGTCAATTCCAAAATTCACTTGGCCGTGGATGGCCATCAACAACAACAAGACAAAACGGCTGAGGATATCAGCACGATTGTGAAATGATGCAACAGGATGCAAGACAAACATGCAAGTTCACTTGGCCAGGGCAGTGTTTTTTCATTCACAACTTTGGGTTTGAACTGTGGAATCTTCCTTCCTGCAGCCCAGATAAAACCCTTAGTGGTTATGATTTGCTCCAGGGTCCTGATGTCTATGTTTTCCAGTTTTTAAGACCGTGATACCTTGAAGTCTGCCATTGACAAGTGATTTAAAGAACAGACAGAATTGTGTTATCAGGGAATTGCAAGTTTCAAGGACAAATGAGCTTAGCGTATTGATTTGAGAGGTGATTCCATTGATATTTTAAATGGTGAAGTTGCTTAATTCAGTGTTCCTCAGTTGATAAACCTCTGGAATGTCCCCTGTATCTTTAGGGCATAAGTACAACGTCAGATAACATCTTCCCACAAGACAGTGCCAACTTTTTTTCTTTAGATATGGGGATATGCTACAGCATGCTTGCTAGAGGTCTTTCCTTGATCTTTTTGCCTTGTTAGTAGGTCTTATAACAGGTCAGTAGGTCTTAGAACAGATGAGCTCTTGCATCTGTAGGTGTGACAGTATCTGTAATGAAAAGCCATTTATGATTAATAGAAAATGTGTGGCTCAAACACTGCTAACAATTTGTGGCTGTTCTTGTGATTGTCAAGAGAATTTTAATCATCACTCTAGTGGTTCTTAAATGCACCACAAGTGGAGTGACATCTCATAGTTGAATACTTGCCGCTGTTCCTGTTGACCAACTCCCCGAGATGCGCTCATGTGGGCGGTGTGTCTGTGCCTCGTCGTTTTTTGTGACTTTGACAATAAAATACAACTAAAATGATAAAAGAAAACACTTGGATGGTACATGATAAGATCACTTTATTGGCCATATACAGTTTCTTGCAGTAGGAATTTGTCTTTTCGCATACCCCAACTTGCTCTCCATGAGGCACACAGACAGGGAGAGAAGCTTGGGGTCAGAGCGCAGGGTCAGCCATTTATCCGGCGCCCCTGGAGCAGCTGGGGTTAAGGGCCCAACAGAGTAGGATTCCTCTGCCGGCCACGGGATTTGAACCGGCAGCCTTCCACAGATCCTGAGCCACAGAGCCACCGCTCGGCCCACATGTCTTGTTTAGTTATGCGGGTCGCTTAGATTATCCCGTCCGGCTACAAGGACCCTTAAAACAATACCACGACGTTAAGGAGGGTTAGCATTTCTTGGCCTTGGGGCGGAGCTGTTCGCCCACGGGTGTGGGGTTTTCCCGCAACGCGCGGGAGGGTCTCGCGCCCCCAGCCGGACCGCCGCGTGACGGGCTGTGCCGTGTGGTCGGCAGGGAGGGCTTCGAGCAGTTCTTCGACAGGCTGCACCAGCACGGCGTTCCTGTCTTCATCTTCTCCGCGGGCGTGGGGGACATCCTGGAGGAGATCATCCGCCAGGCGGGGGTCTACCGCCCCAACGTGCGCGTCGTCTCCAACTTCATGGACTTCGACGAAAATGTGAGTCAGGGCAGGAGAGCAGAGGTCACTGGTCTCCTGCCCACGGACCGGCCTGTTGATTCCGCCCGATCAGCTTTCTTTATCATCAACATGAAGGCGAACAGGAAAGGCAGTGTTTTGTGTACCTTAAAAGTATAACTGCTTCATAATTCATTCATTACTAGAATAGCGAACACTGAATACATTTCATTGGAAAGAAAAAAAATGGATTTGGGTTTTGGTTTGAATACAGAATATATGCCACGTGGTACAGACAGGAACATAAAATGCTTTCCACAGAATTTCACCGATAAATTGAGATTTTTTTGTAGCCGGGGGGGGGTTGTCATCCCTGATTTACACCAATTTCACCTTCCGCTCAAAAATAACTGACTGGGTGTTTTTATACTGGTCTTGAAGCTGGAGCGGTTTCTTTTAAACTGACTCCACACACACGCAGGAGGAAATCTGATTGAACCGCATGCATGATATTGTACCCTGCTTGGATCGTGTAGATAGGTACACTACTTACTGTTTAATGTGTCATCTTAAGGTGAAGGTTAAAAAAAAGCACAAAAGGCAAAAGACGGTTTGAAAAGGGAAAAATCTCTGAGAAACATTTATTCTTTTCCCCAGTCCAAAGCATTTTTTCTCACGTCTGATTTCTGATTCTATTTAGATTCGTAAGAGATTTCTAACCCTGAAAACAGTACAACAGCAATATTGTGGGGAAAATAAAAATACTAAATGCTACATATGGGATCTGATTGTGTGTTAGATCATATTGGTGCTGGAATATGTCTAAAAAGGGCTTGCTGCCTTCGTGCAGGGTGTGTTGAAAGGTTTCAAAGGAGAGCTGATCCACATGTACAACAAGCACGAGGGGGCTCTGAAGAACACGGAGTACTTCAAGCAGCTGAAGGACAACAGCAACATCCTCCTCCTGGGAGACTCCTTAGGAGACCTCAACATGGCTGACGGAGTGCCCAGCGTCGAGAACATTCTCAAGATTGGCTTTCTCAACGACAAGGTGCCCGCGCCGATCGTGCTCCTTGTCCGTTAGCACTTTCCCAAAGGCTCAAAGGGCGGAGCAAGAGGAAAAAGAAGAGCACGGGAGATGATCCCAGTCAGTAAATAAGTAAAAAGCAGGAGCTAAACTGCGCTATACATTAGGCGCTGTGGGGAAAACGGAAGTCTTGAGGTGCATTTTAAGACTGTCGACACGCGCAGTCTGACCTGATCTGGTGGGGCAGCGAGCTCCACAGGCAGTGTGCTGTGAAAGAATAAGATCCGTCACTGATTGGGTGCAGCCTGGTCTTCTGTAGAGTAGATCACAGATCACAAATCACTGTTTAAGAGGAGGATTAGACTTGTGCAGTAAAAGTAAAGATAACCTGGAGCTAAACTATTCAGTACCTTATATGGAGGCAATATGTAAATAGGAATGATCCTAGAGCCAGGCCCTGTGCTAGACCCTGAGTGTGCAGAACAACATCAGATTTGAAACAGACCAGAATTACAAATTGGCTTCTGGGAGCCAGAAATGGGCCAAAGCAAGGAAAGGAAGTACCAGTGATCCCTGTGTCATTTCTCCATGTGGTCCCGCAAGATGTCACGATTCGCAGTCCAGAAAGGACAGGACACGTAGTCAGAAGCAATCGGCAAATCACAAATTATCTTAAAAGAGGCCATTTCTTTGTCTGGATTCTGACTGGGGGGGAGGGGGGAGGGTCAAAGAGCTCATTGAATGCAAGAGCTGCCAGTGCCCAGTCCAGAATCTCTGAGTAAAGGCTATTTGGAGAGACGGCTGAAGCTGCTAAGTACCGTACATCTGCGTCCAGGCCAGATTCCTTTAAGCAGATGTGAGGTGTGCGTTTTAGCCTGTAGGGACAGGAGGAGGAGGATAGTGACACACGGACAAAGAGCAGAGAGGTTAGATTTGAGTAGGGGTTCTGGAGAAGGGTCCACAATACAGACGTTAAGTCACGTTTGAGCAGTGTGATATACATGATCCTTTTTTAGTACTGTGATTGTGGCTCATCGCTGGTACTTTGTTTGTATGGGAATTATTTGCTGAAATCTGCACACTGTCCCATTTGCCAAAGAATCTCCATATGATCTTTTTTAAACTGGTTAAACCAGTGCTAAATATATAACATTATTATACAATTTCTCAGCTATGGCGTTTTAAAATGCTACTCTTACCTTTTGTTTGCAGGTGGATGAGCGCTTGGAAAAATATATGGACGCTTACGATATTGTTTTAGCGAAGGATGAAACGCTGGAAGTGCCCAATTCCGTTCTCCAGAAGATACTTTAGACAGAATTACTGCAGACTGAAGCACTGGACTGGAGCACCTTTTAAAGATGCACTTTTTATCTCGACCTTTATAAAAAAATATTGTTTTCCTCTCACCTGAACAGTCATACACCTCAAGTTTCTTTTTTTTTTCTTTCATCCGTACCAAACTGTCCGTGCTCCCTGCTGTCAAGTGTAAGAAACCCAAGACTGAACAATTTTAGCAGTTTTCATACTTCCATAGGTATTTTTTTTTTACTTTCATAAGTATGTGTGCAATCATTAAAGCAACAATGCAAGATAAACAAAACCGTGACCTACTAGCTTTAAAAAATTTGCAAGTCTCATTTGACAGCAGTCTAATTTTACCATCTTGACTACCACTACTAAACAAAATGGTACAGTATCGTTTTAAGGACTTGCCATATATAATTTGAAGGTCATTTTGGACCTTCCAAAAGAAAGTAGATGGGGAAAAGACTTCTAAACAGCAAGAGAAGAAGAAAATCTTGAAGAAAAAATGAAGATGGGATGTTGCCGAACTCGGGCTTCTTCGGATCTTTTATTTTCACTGCTTTCTTGTATTGTTCTGTAAAAAAGTAGGCGATATGCCTATTTTGAATTGGAGATTTATACTACCTCTAAATTTGGGTGGAAGTGTTTTGGGTTTGTTTTTTTTTTCTTCTTAATTTCTCGATGTGAAATGTTTTCTTACTTTTCCTCAGTTGGAGACGTATGGGTAGCTGGGCCTCTTGAGTGTTGATGTCGTATGCACGTTTCCCTTTTTAAAAGAATTCATCTGTGTGCATATTTGTGTGTGCTTGTATATTTAAAATAGGCAGTTTGTTGAACAAAGATGGTTCTTGTTTTGATTTGAGTCATTGCTGACGGGGAAAAGGGATAGAAACATCCTCTCTCAGGAAATGGTTTTATATATTTAAAAGCATAATATAGTTCCTGTTTATAGTGTACATCTATTGTAAATCTCTTTGACTTGCATCTTCTTCAGCAACCAAAGGTCTTCCATATGGAGGAGCTAGCTTCTGGAGGTCCTAACTGTGCAGATTTTTAGAACAGGAGTTATTAATCGTGTTTCGAGGGGTCCCACACACCTGCTGGTTTTGGTTCCACATAAGTACTTAATCAATTAAGCCTTTAATAGTTCTATTTAGAGGTTATTAACTTCTAAATTGTGTTTAGTTCCTAAACCTCTTGGAGGCTGTTGCCTTTTTACAGTTGTTCCCGAAGTGACTTATGATCTCCAACCCCCGAGCAGAGACAACAACTTGCGAAGCTTCAAACCAGGAAAGCAATCGAGGATTCATTTAAATAGAGCTCAGCTGCAGCGAAAACTGGGAGCCCCCGTTGCAGAGACAAAACACATTAATTGTGAAATCAGAGGTTCAGAAGGTCAGAGGTTCTGTCTTTTGGCGCCTTGCAAAAAATAATGGTGACATGCTATTCAGTGGGTCAAAATCCTTTTAAAAAGCTCATATTGATACTCTTAAATACGTTCCCTAAATAAAGGTGGAAAAAAGTACTTTAGAAAACAGTTACCTAACACCACCAGAAAAGCTGTATTTTGGCAGAATCACACAGTTCCTTATGGCTTTTTCCTGCTTAATTCTGAAATAATTGTGCTTAGCAGTAAAATGAATCTCTATATCCTGTCGAGAGTAAGGAGCCACAGTAGCATCGTATATTGGGACACCTTCAATCTAGCTTTTACCTTTCCCCTCAATTTTGAGATGTTTCCTGGTGAAAATAGAACGATCTAAAATTTTTTTAAAAGGTTTTAACGGAACCTTTAAAACATGTTTTTTTTTTTTTAAAAGACCCATTCATTTAAAGAGCGCAACTGAAGAACACTTTTCAAGAAGGAACCAGCAAATACCATTTTCCCAATAAAGGCCATCATGTTGGAAATGATCATTTAAAAAAGAAAGTACAGTTATAAAAACAGACATTGGCATCACTTGCTTTCCTTTTACATCAATCACTCCTACAGAAGCAACGCTAATTAACAGAATTCACTCTCCTCAGTTGAACAGCTGTATGAACATAGGGAGCTGATTAACTTTCTCTACAGGTTTACCTACATGTGACAGAAAATCAGCTTTATCTCCACACAGCTCTGGTTACACTAGGCAGTGTAATCGTAAAATATAAAGCTTTGAGCTATAAAAAAATATTTAAATATGTTCAGGCCAGTTGTCTGTGATTTATTTTAGACAAATTCTAAACACATTGTTTACTAAAAGTGTATTAAAGGTTCAGAAACAGGGGTGTCCAAGACTGGTCCTCAAGAGCCACTGTCCAGTAGGTTTTTATGCCATCTTTAAATCTCCAGCATCTTAGGAAGAAAGAAGGGCTTTGCCCTGTCCAATTAAGCAAATGACGAGCTCAATTAGGTCATTAAGGGCTCGGCTGAGAAGAAAACCAGAAACCCTTTGGGCACCTATGCTCAAAAACCTTTCAAATTCAGTTTCATCTTTTTTAAATCTACTCTTTGAGTTCTTCCTTCCACAAATATGCATTTGGTCAGTCACTCCCTGGGTTTTCCTTTTTTTTCCCCGAAGTGCAGAATGAATCTCTCTTTTAAAACGGGTGACCTGTCCAGTAGGCCGGTCTGTGTGTAGAATTATGGCCAGGGATGGACACCCCCGGTTTAGATGTTCGCTCCGGAAGCTCTCTTAGGCAAGAGGCCAGAGCTACTTTGACAAAACCGCAGTAAGTCTCCAACACATTACTTTTCTAATCAGCTAAGACTCAATGAATGTTAAGCCCACTTGTCTGAAAAATACTCCCACCCTT